CCCCCCCCCCCTTCTTTCTGCCGTGCAGTTTTGCCGTGTGCCCGAGGGCGGCAAGGGCCGCTGCTGCCAGCCGCGGCCCTCGGAGCCGCTCCGTCAGGAGGTTGTCTGTGATGCCGGCACTCAGGACTGCGTCGACCCGGGCCTGTGTGGCAAGGACGGCTACATCATCACAGACGGCTCCGGCCTGCTCGACCTCAGGATCAAGGGAAAGCCAGGTCCGTGAAGTTGAGCACTGCGAAACGAGACAAACGCTTCGCGCGGTGGCACAATGCAGAATGAACGCCAATACACGCCTATTTTTGCGACAACAGGCAGCTGACAGCTCCGCTGGGTTTGCCATAGCTGAGAAAGCCTTGCACTGGTTTGTTGATGTCATGACATCTTACGCCGCCAAAGGTTGGCCGGACATGATGAAAACACTACCTGATTATATGCCGCGGCCGCAGGAAGGCCTTCAGCTCAAACAATGCGTCAGTTTGATCACAAGTGTGTTGTTCAAAACATCTCTGACGCCTTGGCTTACGTTCCACGCCGGCCTTGCAGTACTGCCGGGACTCTGGAGGTCAGGAGGCATCTGTCTACGGCCACCGACCACAACGCCCGCGACAAGCCGGCCCCGACCAAAGAATCGGTGCCAGGGTCCCAGCAGTGTGTCCCACCCGACATTTGTGATGCGGACGGTTACATCATCAGCGACGCGTCGGCCTGATCGACATCCGCTTCAACTCTAACAACGGGGTGCGGCCGGCAGGCAGTTGCAAACAGTGCGCAACATAGCGTCTTCGAACGGAGGACAACTTGAATAGAGGGAGCGACAATCACAGTCCGCGGATTCTGAGTCAATGCAGTTTGTTTGGCAGCATTAGTTGAATCACGTATATGTTGTCGTCCATCATCATAAGCGCCAAGGTGCTCATACCGACCATTCATCTCTTCGCCTTATAGGAGCTGATGTCACCTGAACAATTTCACTTGGTCTATCCATAGTTTAGACTTATGGTTTACATGTGAGCGACGAAGCTGACTCTCCCTATTATACACGGCATTGCTATAAACGCGATTCAATCACCCAAGGTTCGACTGAAACTAATCTCGTGCTTGCTTTCCTTTGCCAATCAAGTGAGCTCCCCTTTCCCAGAGTTGCTCTGTTCGGGGCTGCTTTCGTGTTACTCAAATCGCCTTATCCTCCCCACCTAGCTACCCTAGCGCTCGAGGCTCTGAACTATTCAAGCGATTGGGTGACGAGCCCGGTTTCGTTTATGGACAAGCCCATCAGAGGCGCCTGTAGCCGCGTTAGGCCGCCGCGAGTGAGCCGTTCCGCGTCGCCCGCAGTACTGACGAGCAGAGGACGGCAGCCGCGTTAGGCCGCCGCGAGTGAGCCGTTGTCCTGCGTCGCCCGCAGTACTGCCGGGCGGAGGACGGCAGCCGCGTTAGGCCGCCGCGAGTGAGCCGTTGTCCTGCGCCGCCCGCAGTACTGCCGCGCGGACGGCAGCCGCGTTAGGCCGCCGCGAGTGAGCCGTTGTCCCGCGTCGCCCGCAGTACTGACGAGCAGAGGACGGCAGCCGCGTTAGGCCGCCGCGAGTGAGCCGTTGTCCCGCGTCGCCCGCAGTACTGACGAGCAGAGGACGGCAGCCGCGTTAGGCCGCCGCGAGTGAGCCGTTGTCCTGCGTCGCCCGCAGTACTGCCGAGCGAGGACGGCAGCCGCGTTAGGCCGCCGCGAGTGAGCCGTTGTCCTCGCGTCGCCCGCAGTACTGCCGAGCAGAGGACGGCAGCCGCGTTAGGCCGCCGCGAGTGAGCCGTTGTCCTGCGTCGCCCGCAGTACTGCCGAGCGGAGGACGGCAGCCGCGGCACGTGCTGTCTGCCGCCCGAGAGCCGGCCGCCACTGGAGGACACCTGCGGCAGGAGCCTCGACATCCGCATACTGGGCGTCAGGCCCGACTCAACTGAGGCCAGCTTCGGTACCGTACTGACTGCGGTCTCAGCACACCTCGTGCCGTACTGCACAGCCTCACAGCACCTCGCAACGCGGAGCACAAGTCCACTGGACTCACATCGCACCGGCCAGCCTTAATGTGCCCCGCATGGCTTGCACAGCTCCCTGCTTCAGTGTACCTCGCATCGTACCGCGCAGTCTTAGTGCACCCTGCGCGGCACTACCAGCCCTTGCACATCGCACATCTACACAACGCTAGCGCACCTCTCACCCTTCCACATAGCTCCAGTATACCTGGCACGGCACCGCATAGCCATGATGCCCCCGCACCACACTGCACCGCGTTGGTGCACACAATTCCTTTATTATATCCGATTCCTGCGCTGTACACTCAATTCCTGTATACCTCGCATCGTCGCACGCAGTCCCAATGCACCTCTCACCGCACCACACAGTTTCAGTACACCTCTTACCGTAGCACATAGTCTCAGTACACCTCTCACCGCACCACACAGCCTCAGTACACCTCTCACCGCACCACACAGTCTCAGTACACCTCTCACCGCACCACACAGTCTCAGTACACCTCTCACCGTAGCACGCAGTTCAGTACATTTATCACACCGCACCACACAGTCTCAGTACACCTCTCGCCGTAGCATACAGTCCTCAGTGCACCTTTCGCCATACCACACAGTCTCAGTACACCTCTCACCGCACCACACAGTCTCCATACACCTCTCAACGCGCCACACAGTCTCAGTATACCTCTCATCGTATCACACGGTCTCAGGACGCCTCTTACCGTAGCATACAATCTCAGTACACCTCTCACCGCACCACACACACAGCTCAGGGCAGGCGAAACCATCCTGTGCGGTGTCGATGAACCACACAACCTATCACACCAATCACACCACAGCCTAACAGCCTCATATTGCCATGCCATGCTTTCGCGTGGCACTGGAGACGTGGTGCCAGTTTTTGCTGTTGCTCCTGTCTGGCAACATCCGCGAGAAGCTGGCAGGCGTCCACATGTGAGGTGCAAAAGAGTAATCGCGAGCGTGCATGCTCAGTGTAATATACACACACTATGTTCAACTGAGTGCACCACACATAGAGCTTTGTGGCCAAGTAAAGCAACGCACTGCACGCCGTCAACCTACTGCATATCGCACCGCATGTCGTCAGCTTACTGCATATCGCACTGCATGCCGCTGACTTACCGCACTTTGCAAGGCATACCCGCATCTCTCTGCACCACACCACACTGCATGCCACCAGCATACCTCGCGACAGTCGATCATTCCTACCTGCCGACACTCGCATGCCCCAGGCAGCTCACATCGCAGGCCCATATTTAAGCTCTACAGACATTCAGTCTCGTGATGTGCCTCACTCTCTTTCAGCCTAGTTAGATGATTTCGAGGCCGTCTCACCAGACTCCTCCTGTTGCACGGGCAGTCTGACTATTTCAAACAGTGCTATTGTGCATTCCAAGTGTGTGCGACGGCATAATGCCGGATTACTCCGAACTGTTGCTCCGCCTCCAGTAACCTTCAAAGCGATGCCTTTGCATGCATGTGGTCTCGACTTACTGCAGCTTTCGCACTTTGAATATGTGTTCTAATGTTCAACGTTATTAGAGAGGCTTAACCCAATGTCAGGCGTGGTCATCTGAACTGACCAAGCTGTTCTCGTTGACAGGCGAGCTCCCATGGCAGGCTATTATATCCTACACCAACTACACCTTCGTCTGCGGAGGGTCCCTCATTGACAGGCGCCACATCGTTAGCCGCCGCTCACTTGCGTTCAACGGTGAGATTGTAAGAGATCTGGCTCATCGAAACGCCACTTGGAATCTGGCAACTTCCGGGTATGCTGTCGCCCGTCAGGGCAGTAGCAAAATGACCGCATGCCCTCGGAACGCACTTTGGTTGGATCGGTCGCCGGCACTCCAAGCAATTCAGTTCATGACGCCGACAACCATATTACTTACGTAATGAATGCTGGCGTCTGGCCCTCTGTTGTGCAAAGGTTCCATCACCTTACCGATTCAGTCGTATGTCCCAGTGAAGAAAGCAACTGAGGCGGACTGTCGAACGTTTAGGCTGCAGGCGTCGGAGCTCCAGGTTGCGGTTGGCGAGTACCAGGTTGAACGCCGAAAACGAGCCCGCTGCCGTACCATGACGCGCCCGTCTCGAGCATCCAATGTCCACCCCCGGTGGGTAGGGGCGCTGCTCGGCTGGCGGCCACCGCAGCCATCACGCGGCCGCCGCTTTACCTGCCGCCGATCGGCGCCAGTTCAGGCTGTCCTTCTGTTGCTCCATGCGGAATGAGTCTTAACGTTTTGTGAGCATGGAAATGCAATGTGGTTGATTCAGACCAATGATGTTGATATGCTGGCGGGAGTTGATATTTAGAGCCGTAGTTAAGCGAGTGTACTTATGTTGAAGTTTCGGAATGCCCGATTACAGCTGTCGTTCATGCCAGAAGAGTTCGAGGCGAAAATAGCCATAACCTGTCTGCGAACGTCCACCTGTGAGCCGCTGTATTTACAGCAATGGGCCTACTCGTGCTGCAGGTTTAACCGGAACTCGCTGTTCAACGATGTGGCGGTGCTGGAGCTGAAGAGAGAGGTGAAGCTGGACAGCCATGTGCAGCCCATCTGCCTGCCGAGCGCGGGCCAACGTTCACCGGCCGAATGCGGGGCGTCCGCTGGGGCAGGAAGGCCGCCTTCAACGGTGGGTACGAGGCGCCCGCCTGCCTCTTAAGACGCCTCTAACCAGCTAGCAGGCGATTGCGATGCCCAGTTGGCAGGCGATTGCGATGTCCAGCTGGCGGGCGACTGCGATGTCCAGCGGGCAAGCGATTACGATGTCCAGCTGGCGGGCGATTACGATGTCCAGCTGGCGGGCGATCGCGATGTCCAGCGGGCAGGCGATTACGATGTCCAGCTGGCGGGCGATTCCGATGTCCTCCCAGAGCGGCAGTAAAACCTCTCTGGCCTCGTTGGCCTCTTTGGGCCGGCAGTAAAACGCAAACCGTCTCTGGGTCGGCGGCAGGACGTAAAACCCCCCTCTGCGTCGGCAGGAGACCGCAATGTCCTGTCAAAGTTGGCAGGCGAGCGCAATGTCGTCTCGGTATGGAAGTCGATTACAAGTTCTACCGTATGGCGGTCGAGCACAATGCTCTTCCGTGTGACGGTCGAGCACAATGCTCTTCCGTGTGACGGTCGAGCACAATGCTCTTCCGTGTGACGGTCGAGCCAAATGTCCTCTAGGGTCCAACAGCTGAATGGGTATTTCTCGCAGGGCTGGCAGCTCAGCACATGGCCTGTTGAAGGCCAACACTTGTAGCTTGAACTGAGAGCGCCACCTATAAAGGCACTCCAGAAACCCCTCGGCAATGAATGCGTGGAACTAGCATCACTGAACATGATGCTGGGAGGAAGAAGTGGTTCAACCAAAACAACGGACCAGGAAACAATTTGGTAAAAACTCCCCTCTAAAAAGTAAATCAGAGCCGTAAAGAGCACAAAACACACTGCGAGTCTGCCCGCGACCACCCGTGCGCTTGTAAGATAGTCAGTTGTAAAAACATGCTTGATAAAGCGCCAAGCTGATCACCCGCACTGTTTTACGGCTAGACTTTGGCGTTGACAACGAGATGGAGTTGATCTCATGCGCCCCCTTATTGATCTGTAGAGTTCCTTTTGATTTTAATTATCTGAATGAAGACTTATACTAGCATAGGATGCCATGAGCTGTTCAACTTATTGCCGAAGCAACTCGCTCACAAGTCTACGATCTGAATGAAAAATATTTTGGTCACGTGTGGATGAAAGTGCAGCAAATTGTCCGGAAGAAAAACATTTCACCAACGTTGCGCAAGGGGTCCGAGAAAACAAATTAGAAGAAATCGTTATTTGAAGTGGATAGTCTGGGGCAGGGGGTACCAATCCAGGAAGTTTATTTCGTCATTGTGCACATCAGGCCCACCTTGACCACAGCAAAACTACCGCCTCAGAGGCGAAGTTTTCGCCTTGATGTATTGTTTTTCCATAGCTGACTTGTGGCTTGTGACACACCATGTCGCAAGATGCAAAGTAGCACGTTTAAAACTATATAATGGTAAATCAGAATATGCAATTGTAAAATAATGCATTACCTGATTCACCTGAGAGGAATCAGCAGTGATACCATCGGACAAGGTTCATTAGGATCCTCCCTTAAGTCGCGCCAACATTTGATGCACTGATTCACAAGAACTCCCTGTTCTCTCATCGCACTTGTCCCTGATTCCGCACAGGATAAATCGGCGACGATTCCAGCTCGCAAGGTATTTGATGTATTTCTGATCCTGAGTGGCACAACACAGCTTGTAACGAACTACGACCCCGAATCATTCCGATAGCTCGACCCAGGAGTGAAGTCCCTTCGAGTCCTTTCCCGTGACATCAGTTCAGGATACGAATCCTGCGAACTATGAAAAGCTCGTATTAAGCGTGTGTTTTGATAACACAAGCAACTGATGTTTATCCTCGCATGAATTAGATCCGCAATAATAGGAATACGTCCCTGAATTTAGCTGAGTGGACTCACGGATGATTCCATCCGATACGATTGATCAGGCTCCGCCTTTGAGACATCTCAGTTTTTGAAGCCTTAGTCACCTTAGCTGAGATAAAAGTTTGGCTGCAGGACAAACCCTCACTGGACTCGGGATCAAGCACAGCCACACCTTTCACGTCCATCAGGCGATTTATGCCCCTTTCTCGTCAAGCGCGCTAAGGCCTGAATAGCTATGCACATCCTTTTCTTATGGGTGACGAGATGGAGCCCGTCGGCTCATGATTCCCCTCATGTGCACAAAGCAACTGTCGTGCCGTGTGATAATGGGGTTTGACATTCAAGACATCTTTGTGTCATGTCATGTCATGTCATTGGGACTTCGCGACGCACTCAGCTGCTGAAGTTACATGGCACCGCCTGCTTCTCACCCTCGCAGGAAGGGCGGACACTGCGGGGAATCGAACCCCGTATCACTGGTTTACCAGACGCGCAGAAGTTAACGCAGACGCTTTAACCATTACACTACCGGCACCCCGAAGACATCTTTATGGAAACCTAGCTGATAGTCGTTGCGCTTTTTGTGTTTACTGCTGAATGACGGACCACTGCGGCATTGAGCACTGTGCGAGGAACAGATTCTGGATATTTGTACATTCTTGTGACGTACTACACCCGTACAATACTGAGGGATGTAACGCAATTTTTTGGGCTGTCCACTCAGCGTAAATCTCACATGGAGCAAATTGATAGGTTTCCTGTTTTCACCAGGTGACTTCTCGACCGTGCTGAAGAAAGTTCGTCTACCAATGGTCGACAATGAGAAATGCCAGTCCATGCTACGGAAAACGCGACTGGGGTCGATTCTTCAGGCTGCACAGGAGCTTCGTTTGCGCAGGAGGAGAGGAGGGCATCGATTCATGTCAGGTAACCTGTCACATGGTATGGTAAGCGAAACTTCGATAGCCACGCTTTATCAATTGTCCTTCGTCAAATGATCCTGGTAGCACGTGAAATATTCTGCACGTGTGCTGAAGACTGTTGTGGACCTTTTAGTTCTCCAGCGACGGATTTCCTTGCATTGCCGTTTGTCTGTCAGTTCTTGTCAGCAGAAGCGCCGGCCTCGTCATATGCCGGCACTCATACGGTGTGTTCGCCCGATCTGTTCGCATTGCCGGAGCACAGACCATCAGAGCCGGTCTCCGGTCAGTCAGGGCTGTCGGATGCTGTTTCGCCCAGCCGGACGGGCCATGTTGAGCGCGTTCCGTCGCGACCGTGCCGCGTCCGCATCACTCCCGCCCGGGCCGACAGGGTGACGGTGGCGGTCCGCTCGCCTGCCCGGTCGACGGCGCGTACGTGCTGGCCGGCGTCACAGCCTGGGGCATCGGCTGCGGCGTCAAGGACGTGCCCGGCGTGTACGCCAGCACCGAGGCGGCGCTCGACTTCATCAGGGAGGCTGTCGGCGCCGGCGGGCGGTGAGACCGGCCGCCGGTGTCCGTTCGGCCGCGGCGCGACCCGCGGCTGGGTGGGGCTCGCGCCCTCTGCAGTGCGCTGATTACTGTGTCTGCGAGTCTTCAGCCGTCGGTACCGAGGCAGTGACACCGGGCCTTGGCGAGCGGACCGAAATTGCATCAGAAACAGCTTGTCCATAATGAAGCGGATGGCGACGGCGGTTATCAGAGGTTCGGAGCACACGTCAGGCGCTGTCGGCAATGGGCCACAGGACAACGCGTCGAGCATACAAAATACAGAGCATTTTTGCGTAGTTTCCATAAATATGTAGTTTTCCAAGTTCATGCAGGTCGGGTCCAGTATTTCGTAGGTTTATCTCACCATGCCTGTCGGAGGTAGAGGAGAATGAAAGCGCGACCATTGGGCATACACCGTGTGTATATTAGAAGATATGATGCATCTAAAATGCGCTATCCCGGCCAACGACTATGTGCTGTGCCTACGTTTTTGCTATTTCAAGTTGCGCTGCACATTCTTTGCATTTGTGAGTGCTTTCGAACAATTTGTCTTTGCTTTTCGTGCAAGCTCTGAAGACGAAGCATGCAGAAAGTGTCGTGTGTTGTTTTCTCTCCACATTCCGGCTGGTAAGGACAGCAGTGCGCAGCCACTTTGCAGGTATATAATATTGTTCATCTGACAGACACTGGCATGTGAACCTATCACGTAATCGAACCCCGGAGTTTTGGAACTGGTGCCCAGATCGTTCCCTGATGAAATTCGCATTTTCAGAGTCGGTTAGGTGAACAATGTCATCTGCCTACAAAGCGGTTGCACAACACGGTATTTTACATTCGTAGCATGGATTGGAAACAACACACGATGTTAACTTCCCGGCCATAAATCCAAAGCTTTATGTTAGAGGAGAGCTGTCTCTCTTGCACGAATACTGGTGTACAATAGCCGGCGTAGGCAAGTTGGGACCTATATAACGGTTGTACGTGATGGTAGACGATGTGTTAGTATTACGCACGGGACAAGCGTTCTGTCGCCCCTATCTGGATTGGTCGCATCCGCACAATACTTCTGCCAGCTAGCTGTCGATTGGTATTATTGAGTCCTGAGAACGGCTGGATGGTGTTAGGGCCTTCAGCCATGTACGCGTCATAACCCGGCTGGAAAATCAAGTGGCCTAAACATTGCGTGGATACTAACACACCAGGCGAGGGTGACAGTCCGAATAGCTTCTCCACCTGTGACCTGTATTGCGTTAAGCATCGTCACCTAACAGATTGTTTCACAATGATTTAGTACTGATTTATAGATAGATTTAGTATTTAGTTCCCCGAGCTGATGTACTCCCCAGTGTTAACCAAGTGAAGTGAACGTAAATACATATCTACCGAATCCTACAAGTCTCTCTGTATTTAAAGGGTCGGCATTTGCGGAGCCTATTCCGAGATATCAGCGACCAGTGAGACCTGCTGAGCTAACTGCCACAAACAAGGCGTGCACGGCCATTGGGAGCTGTCGAACTAGCTGCCACAAACAGCGCGAGCACGCAGGATTTTTTCCAACGTCCCATGCGCTACAAATGCGTGCATGATGATAGCGCAGTGTGAGAGAGGGAGAGCAAACACGTTCGGCACTCGAACAAGGGAATGTTAAAGCAAATGTTCCACATTTGAAGATATTAAAGGAAGCGGCAGATTTTTAATGAAGAAGACTGCTCTAGGCACCACAGTTGCTCTGTTGAGTAAATATGCCCAATGCGTCAATGTTTGATTGCACCACCGGACCTTGAACGACACTGAAAAGGAGCCAATGGACGGCCGTAATGCATGGAAATTGTGCTCACGAACGCCAGATATGAACGACTCGGCATCTGTATTTTGCTTGGCCTTGATCGCCGCATGGCTACTGGAATGACAAGATTTAAATTACGTCATTATGGCGTCATGAACGCCAAGGTTACCTCGAAATATTTTCCCGAGGTAATCTGCACATTTTTGCGGGCATGTACCTCAGATATAAGAGGGGCCAGGTCTTAAAAAGAACAGGACTATAATGTGCACCGAATTATCTTCAAGATGGATTTTTCAGTTCAAAACCTCATACCAATGTGGAACACTTCCTTTAAGTAAAGAGAAGCCCAGGGGCACCGACAAATACCATTATGTTTGTGTTTTCAAGCATGTCAAGAAGGTGAAGGAAACGGCCGTTAAATGAATGCATTTCATATGCTTCGGGTGCCACTAATTTTTCAATATTTCGGTGGACTTTTTTAGCCGATAATACTCATAACTTGTGCCGAAGTTGTTCTGGGTAGTTCAGGGACATAGTGAACTTAGATCTTAGATCGAAAAGAGGTCATACATTTGCAATCACACCAGCCCGTTTCGGTCTGAGAATGTTAAACTTGATTCAGAATCGAGTGGTGAAAGAATTTCATGGCACGGCTTATGCGCACTCGCAAGCTTACAACGAACACCCCGAGGCCCCGCTGCAGTCTCCGGAGGCCGCGTGGCGTCGGTCCCGCGTCTAACACTAGGCGGCGGCCAACGGGCTTGCGAAAACGACAACGCCTCTAAAGGAAATACGTTTGAGCGGTTTAATGTCAATTGGTACACTAAGAAGGCGTTTCGGAAGTATGTTTCACCTGTGCAATTTTTACAATTATGATAAATATACAAATCGTGTTAGACAAATGGATTAGCATTGGCAGCACAGCGAACAGGTGTTGAAATTTGATCATAGAACTTGTCAGATAAAGGTAAAATCTCCATTTTTGTGCTTCTGTCGCTGTTGATCTCTAAGACATTAACCCAGCTTCTTTGTTTCACACAATTTGTTTCACATGTTGATAATGAACGAGGATGTACGCTTCCAGGGGCACGGTAACTATGTTAAAGTTGGCAGGGCAAAACTCCAAAATGCCAAAATGTGCCCCTAAGTTTAAATAGTCTGCCCCCTCAATAGTTGCCCCTCACATTCAATAGTTGGCCCTCTTCAGGTCAAAATGGGTGCAATAGGGCATAGGGTGTGATATTTTCATAAAATGTGGGGGGGGGAGTGTCAGATGTGTCAGGAGTGTCAGGTTCAGTGTATACTTGAGAAGCTTTTACTGGGAAGCGAGCTCGGTGATTGAAGGGGGAAGATGGGAGACATCGTTCGCTCTTAATTCACATAACACATTTGGAAATAATGAAATGTCACGGTTGCTATGATAAATACACACAACCTTGTTGTACAACCTTGCTCATTCGACACATCTACGCCACTTGGCAAATAGGGCTATCCAGCTCCCTATGATTGTCCGCCCATTTCCTAACTGGTTTTTCTTGGAGCGGCGAAATTCCCGAGCGGGTAGGCATTTGGATCATTGGGGAGGGATCTGCTGCCACAGGGTAGGTGACAAAATACGACCCGTGCGCAGGCTGGTCAGAATTTTGAATGCGGATCAATGACTCACGCCAGAGCTGTTTTGCTCCTGGGTCTCGCCGGCTGCTTTTCAGGAGGTAGGATTTCTCGCGCCATTTTAGGTGGAAACAAACCCCGAAGCTTGAAATACTTGCTGCTAAAAACAATCTGACAAAAACCGTAAAACCCGAGTTTGTCCTGAAAAACAAAATCACAGAATGATGGTCTTTCATGGGGATATTCCTTATCTGAGCCTGGTTCCCGTCCACCATCGGTGGCCGTCGCCCTGACCCGGCTGTCGCCCACATGGCTGACTGTGAACTGATCGTATGACTGCTTTTCTGCATGTTAATTAATCAGCATCACCACTTAGCAGTGTGTAAAGCATATATTGGACAGTTGTCACCTTACCGGTGCTCGCACTGTATTCCCTTTCACCACAGCACAGCAAAAAACAAGTTTTCGGGACACTGCCTGACTGAACCATGAATCGGTCCATCAGACATTCATTTGCCCCGCATTCAACGTGGCCGGCTTGCTCGGCTTTTGAATGCAGGCAGGTGCGTATCCAGAGCCTTGCCAGGAGGGGGGGGGGGGACACACAGCGTTGATAAAGGCTTCCTTGACGGTGACCACCGCCAAAAAAAAGAAGCAAAACGCCAACGCCGGATATAACTCATTTGTCAACGAATCTTGCCAGCAAAGGGGACATAGGGTTGACAAAAGCCCCCTGATGGTGAGAGGCTAGTCGCCAAAAATATTCGGACATAGCCCACTTGTCACGAGGGGTAAGGTTTTTTGTTTCTGTTTTGATCTGATTTTACCCCGTGAACAAAACAAACACAAAGACCAGACGCCATCGCGAGATCAATTCTGTTGATATTTTGAAGACAATGAACTGCAAAAGTCAGACACTGAAGGACTCCGTGGAATAAATCTCTGATTCAGTAGACACTTTCTTAACCGATATAACTCAGACAATTTGCCACATTTGTCTGGGTTCTTCAGATACATAGAGGACTGAACATAGATTGTAGATCAAAATTGGGTTGGAAAGCTGTTTTGATATGGCTAACCCATGTCCGTCTTGAAATGTTCAACATTCAGTCCGAATCGATTACTGAAAAAACCTCTGTAACACGGTTTTGAAAACGTGCGTATGTCAATCTTAGCAACAGCCTCGACGCCCGGCGTTGTAGCCTCCATAAGCAGTGTCGGCCAACGGCTAGCTGAAATACGTTCCTTTGAAAGCTTTAGGACATCAATTAATACGTTTAGAGGGTAGTCGAGGCGTTTCTTTCACCTGGGCGATTGTCAGATTGATAAAAAGGACGGTTTTTCCTTCACAGAACCGCTAAGTGATGCTGTAATCTAGAGTGGAATTGGAAGATTAAGGGAATCATATTCATTTTATCGTGTTGCTCTAACTGTTAATTTGAGCTAGGGACATACTTCATTTTCTAATATGCCCCAGTATAACCTCTGAATGGCTCGAATTTACTTTGGAGGACGTTCAGAAGCATTATTTCACGACGGTCATTCTCAGCGCGCACAGCACCCGCCGCCTGGCGTTACCTGCAGCGGCAACGCCGTTCCGTTTTACAAAAACAGCAACCCGACCAGCGCTGTTCTTGCTGCTGAGATTGCGAGCGTGCAGAGCTAAAAACTGTCTTGTGTTCTTGTTTCACTTACCGATTCCGCAGAAGAATGGATGTTCTCAGGCGAACATGGTTGACTTTTTCATTCTTGACCTCATTTCGATCCACTCAGTTCAACACTTCTGAGACAGTTACGATTTCCGGACAAAAGGCCGGTGAGCAGAACACTAGGCGGCACGCTAACTTTACTGGTTCGGGGACGAAGGGCCATTCCGTCCCAGCGCGGAGTGCATTCCGACTGTTGCTCTGGCGACACTGGGACGGGATCCTTTAGTCGATCTAGATACGCTTTGACGGATGCATCATACCATCTTGAACTCCATGAACGTATGCTGAGGTAAATAGCCATGCAGAAGAACAGTTATATGAATATAGCACGGAGCTCTTGGTACCAGAGAGACCTCGGGTTTGCCCTAAATATCTCCGTTCGCCGCACATGACGCAAGAAGATGCTGCCATTCACCACATGGGGCACATCCGCTATTATTACCAGACGCCATCAACCACATGGTAAAAGTCTTTTAGTCCACAGAAGTCCACATGTCTTTTAGCACATGCCACTTCGCCACATGGAGCAAGTGCGGTTTGGGAAAAGATTGCTGACGGGCTAAGTAAATCGGAATGTGCGTTTAAGATGATGCAAAATAAGCCAAACGCAAATTAAATCTGAAAAAGTAAGAAGACAGTCAACTTGCTGCCCCCCCCCCATCTTGAAAAGTGAGAGGCCCATGACCCCTTCATCTCCTCTTCCCACACCCCTGCAAAAGAGTCAGAATGGGCCCTCTGCAGCGCAAAATAGACCATCCCCAGTCACTAATCGGCCCTCTACAGCTTAGAATAGACCCACCTCACGTCCGAGTAGCACTTCTAGTGGGTCAGAATGGGCCCTCTGCAGTCCAGAATAGGCTCTTCAAGGGCATAGTGGGCCGTCTGAAGGCCCGAGTGAGTCCTTCTACAGGTCACTGCAGGCCCTCCGCAGTTGATAGTATGCCCTCTTCATATCAGATGGGCCCTCTACGGGTCAGAATAAGCCCTCTACATGTCAGAATGGACCCTCTGCA